ACACACACACCACACACACACACACACATACACACACACACACACACACCACACACATACACACCACACATACACACACACATACACACACACACCAACTTTTTAAAAAATATGTGAACAAATCCAGCTACTTCGCAGATAACCACTGGCATCTTTTCAAAGAAGTGCTAGTCAGTTTCTCTAGGTGGAAGATGCTTATTTGGAGGGGAAAAAAGCCAAAACTTCCCAGCTACTTGTAGATAAGCAAATGAAAATGAAAGGCCCCCTCCTGTTGACCCTGGTTTTCCCTTAAGGGTCACATCTTTTAAAATGAAATCTTTGGGTGGGAACATATCCCTGACCATGTAAAGATGCTGGGTACCCACCAAGTAGATCATAGAGTGAAGTATTATAACACCAATTGAAGCCCTTATAAACACCACACAGGTTTGTCAGACTCTACGATCTGCTGTTTGTCATGTCCATTTCTAACACCCTTTCAAGATCTTTCTAAAGGGCATGTAGAGTTGGGTCATGGTTTTGGGCTTTATGAAAATGGCATGTTTATTACATAAAATACAACTGCTTTTTGATTTTCAATTTCTAAATTTTTGTTTTAAATTTAAATTTTAAGTGTTTGTTTTTAAACTTATTTACCTTGTGTGTAAGCACATGAAGGTCAGAGAGCTTTCAGAAGCCGGTTGCCATCTTCCCTGCTCTTTTGAGTCTCTCTTCCTGTTTCCACTGCTGTATAGAATACTGCAGGAGGCTGGCCCATAGTTTTCAGGCAGATTCTCCTGCCTCCAGTTTCCATCTTATTCCAGGGCTGATTACAGGTGGTGCTCCCTCATCTGGCCCTGTAGATGGGATCCAGGAACAGTGATCAGGCCAGCAGGCACAGACAGGAACACTTTCAGCTGCTGAGCCATCTCCCTGCCCTGTAACCATCTTAGCTTTGTTTCAGCATTGCCTGTTTGAGCTGTGTTCATGCTAAGGTAGCTCTGTCAATCACTTTCTTTAGGTAGATAGACATGTTGGTTTGTGTTCTCCCAGTGTTTCAGTTACAACAAAAGTCTATAATGAATATTCCCACTCATAACTTCTTGAACACCTGTGGGAGATAGGAGGAATACACCCATAAGGAGAATGGCTGAGTAGTGGCCCCTCACTTCTGCAAGAGTATGAAAAATACAGCGAAGATTCTATAGACAGCTCCTGGTGGAGAACCTCTCATGTCTGCACAGAGGGAACTCTGCCCGAGAGTAGTTGTGTCCACTGGAATGAGTTGAGGCCATAGTGGAGGGAGCCAGAATCTCTGACTGTTGCTCTCCTGCTCCTAAGGAAGTGTGGACATAGAAGACATGTGTTGGGGAATTCTGAGCACACAAATTCACAGGAGCAGTGTCCGTGTCTGTCCTTGTGACCTGGCCTCCAGTGTACTTAGTACATGTTCAGTGATGGAAACTACACCACCTTCATACAGCAATTTCCTCCAAGATAAAACTGTCCATCTTGGAGGGAAGCCTATAAAGACACAAGGTGTCCTAAAACAGTGGTTCTCACCCTTCCTAATGCTGTGACCCTTTAATACAGTTCCTCATGTTGTGGTGACTCCCAACCATAAAATAAAATTATTTCATTGCTACTTCATAACTATAATTTGCTAGTTATGAATTGTAATGTAAATATCTTATATGCAGTATTTCTGATATGTGACCTCTATGAAAGGGTCATCTGACCCCCCCCCCCCAAATTGGGTCACAACCCATAGGTGGTGAACCATTCATTGTTCTAAAGGGAGGTGAAACATTTCTATCCTTCAGGAAAGATCCTTAAGCTCCAAACAACAAACAAACAACTAGAAGGTTTCAGGAAGTTCCTGAAACAGAACAGATTCACCAGGACCCTCTCTGCCAGGCATATATAAACATCAAGGACTGTTGAACTTCTTGGAAGAGGCTTGCACCAGACAAGCCTCCTAGAAGAAGGAGAGACAAGATGAACTGCTTGGAAGTAGCTCAGTCCACTGTAGTTGCCTTAAAGAGGCAGTCAGTCTCCCACCTGTTGAGCTGCCTTCAAGTTGTGAATTGTGTTCCAGCTTTCATGAGCTGTCATTCATGAAGTGGCCTTTGGTGATGTAAATGTCCTTGAGTCATCTCCACTCCTGTACTCTCACCTGTATTCCTGCAAGTAACAAACCTGGTTTAGTCACCAAGTTGGACTTTGGTAGTATTTTTCTTCCACTCTGTCATCAGTTCTTCTTGTGGGTAGGTTGTTTGCATCTCCCCAGGAATAGTGTTACACATGGGTGTATGCACAGGAATGAAACACACAGTGTGTTCTGCACACAGGCATGCTTCTGCAGTCAGGGAGTGCCTGAGAATGGAGAGTAAGCTCCTAGACATTGCTCTGTCTTTAACACTAATGCAATGACAGGCCATTGTACCCCAAAGAAAAGCCTAAAGGTCTGCAATAGGGAAAAACGTGTGTGCTCCCAGTATTTCTGAGAAGGTACCAGGAAGATGCTTGATAATTAAAAGGGAAGACAAAACCTAAAGAAAATTCAAAAGTAGGCATTTGGTCTAGGCCCTTGAAATTGCAAAGTTCCCCTTCAGCAAGTTTGAGGAACAAGGAAAATTGAAGCCAAAGAACTCACAAATGGAAGTAATAGGGATTTTAAAAATTAAAAATGTAAGCCAGAAGGCATGACACTGATAAGTGATACACAGCTGCTATACTCAGAGATGACACCACCTCTGAATTAGGAAGACTCAGAAAGCAGGAATTTTCCATGCTTAGCCTTAGGTTGTAGCCCTCCTTCTCAGGCCAGAGCAGCCTGGGACACAGCTTAAGTAGAGCTAATATTCCCAGCTATCGGACTTGCTAGGAGGAGAGAAGGTGGGGCTTGCACCACAGGGACATAACAAGGCTAGCAGGCAGGAGGGGCTTGGGCATCAGTTGGAGGTCTGGCAGTCCTTCAGTGCCAGTTGCTGGCTGCTGGCCTCATGGGACAAGGATTGAATAGGGGAATCCTTGATCTTGAGCTTGTTCATGACAAGAATGAGGCATGCTCTGGTCCCCTGTAGGAAGATGCAAGCCCTGGGGACAGACATCTAAGGTCAAATCCTAAGCTGCCGTGTACTACCTTTGTGTCACTGGGCAGGTTGCTTACTTTCTCTGTGCTTCTGTTTGCCATCCAAAAAATCCTAAGTGGTGTCCTAGTAAACTTTGCCTGTCAACTGGACACAGCCCAAGATCACCTGAGAAAGGAGTTTCCACTGAAGAATTTTCCAGATGGCATTGACATCAGACTTACCTGTAGGGGACTGTTTTGGTTGTTAACTGATGGAGGGGGGTCTAGCCCACTGTGGGCAGCACTTGAGTAAGTGCTTCTGGTCTGTATAAGAAAGCTAAGCATGAGACTTCAGGGGAGCCAGCAAGCAGCAGTGTTACCCCATGGTTTCTGGTTCATATTCTTGCCTGAGTACCCAGCCTGACATCCTTCAGTGATGGATTATGACTTGGAAGTGTAAGCCAAATAAGCCCTTTCCTCCCCTAAGTTACTCCCCAGAGTGCCTTGTCACAGAAACAGGAAGCAAACTAGAACAGATAGCATTGTAAGACAGCAGGTTCATTGATTCTACATCTGCTGTGGGGCAGTGTGCCCCTTAGAGCTTTGTACACACCCCGTAAGTCTGGTGGATCTGCTTATTTTGAATTTGGCCATCTTCCTCAGGACGGCAACATCTTACCCAGGAAGTCTGGAAAACAATGAGGACAACTAAAGCCAAAGAATTAACATCTATAAGCTAAAAGAGATTTAGGGGATTGAGACACTCAGGGTTAGGGCCATTGGCCAAAGTGTTTTTTGTGCAAGCATGACAGATCAAATTTGGAACCCCAGCATCCACAAAATCAAAGTGTTGGTGTATAGCACAGATGGAGACAGGAAGACCCCGAGACTTGCTAGCCATCCAGTTTGCCTACATTAATTAGCTTCAGATCATGTCTTAAACAGTAATGTGTAGAGTTATTAAAGAAGGTATTTCTCAACTGAA